GACAAAGGAATCGTAATTATAAAATAGAGTAGATATCATCACCAGGTAGAAGCACTAAATGAACTATAATCTAAAAGTGTTCCCAATTTATCTAGTCCTAAAAAATTCTGGGTTTCTTTCTTACCAATTTGACCAAAATATAATATTAATTCCTACCATTAATATTGCATGAGTTCCAAATAGAATGAGTTTCAACCCATTATTTGTATTAATCATTTAATATTGTGCTGTGCCAGAACGCCTTGTAACTTCTCCTAACTTGAATGAAAAGTTTGCTATAAAATTTTCTGAATACTATGATCAAAGCTTTCATGCATACTATAGGTGAAGACATGCCATACCTGCATTGCCCGAATTGATACGCCAACCAAGGAAAGAGGGTAAGCAACAAGTTTATATCCAATTTCCTCCAGTTCTAGAGGATTAAAAATGGGTGTCTTTCCTCCTCCTTCAAGCATATTGGCCTAAACAAAAGTAGAAAACACATACCAGTCAATTATTAATCACTCACTGACTGGAATATCATGAAAATTATGTGTCCTAAACGTATGAAAGTTTAACAGAGAACAACATATAAGACAAAGTATACAACTTGTTTCCAAAACACGTAATCTAATCAGACTTCGGTTTGAATCTCGCCAGCTTTCAAGGGATTCTATCTCCTTTATATTATAGAGATATTACTCACCATGGAAATTGTTTTCCTTGTATATTGGTTCCTCGCTATATTTTCAGTTTCTTTAATCAGACTTCCTCATTATATAGTTTGTTGTTTCTCCTTATTTGCATGCACAGTCCCTTTTATTTCTTCAATAAATAATAGGGAAAAAGAGGAAAAAATAGAAACCTTTAAACTTCAGTTCATTCTCACTCCTCTATTTAGTTTTGAATTACAGTCTAATCAAGCAAAAAAAAAAAAAAACAAAAAAAAAGATAATTCCACTAAAAGTGGCCCTACCAAGTCCAAACTAGGCTACCAACTCTTTACACACATGCACCAAAAGTTATAAATGAGAAATGATGTCAAGAAGAGTTGAAACCCAGATCATTTGACAATTGTGCTAATATCATGAAAATGCATAAAAAGTATATCAATGGCATTGCCATGAACATGATGACTTAATTTTCCCTTGTTTCAAAATTACAGCTTCATCAGTAAAATGGTCCATAGTCTATTAGTAATTCCTGTCTTTTACTTGCACACATTAATATTCCATCATAATATCGTGGAGAACATAAACAGTAATATTGTTTTAAATTGTGAAATTGTCACTTGAAGACTCTGCATTAGCAACATTTAAAAAGAAAAACTTTTATGTCAGTCATTCGTGCATCAAAAAGTTGAATGCATATTGTTCGATTTGTATTTTCTGGTAAGGAGATCAGAAGATACCATTTTGGGTATTTTGGGTGAGATTTTACAAAAGGCCTCCATCTCGTCTTTTGAAGCTAGTGCATCAATGAAAAGAACATCAGCTCCAGCATCTGCAAAGGCCCTAGCTCTCCACAGTGATTCACTAAGAGACACTGCTTGACGAGAATCAGTTCGTGCTACAATGACAATGTCAGAACCACTTTCTTTTCTAGCATCAACGGCTGCTTTTATCCGCAACACAGCCTCCTCTCTAGATACCACTTTCCTACCTTGCGTATGGCCACAAGCTTTTGGAGATACCTTGCCATGATAATCTTGTAAGCAAAAAAAAATTGCTAGATAACTGAGGAAATTCTATGATGAAAAACTAAATACTTCATGGAATGAAAATGCTAGTTACAAAAAGTACTGGGTTTAAGGGATGAAAAGAAAAATAAGCAGAGATAGTAGGTTTTCTTGCCGAGAGCATTGCTAGATTCAAATTTTCCTTCTCAAATTTTTTGTTTATGAGAAACCATGCTTATATTAAGAAGAAATTAAAGAATACAAAAGGTCCCGGGATACAAAAAAAAAAAAAAAAAAAAAAAAAAACCACTCCAGAGGAGCCAAGCAACAAACTATACAAAAAAAAGCTCAAATGCCAAATAATCTGACCTAACAGGTAATTACATAAATCCTTGGAAACTGACGCCTAAACAGAGGAGCTAAACCTCACAAGAGACCAAACCTCGTCTCAAGTCCTCTCCATCCCTATACATTCAATGATTCCTTTCAAACCAAAGACCCAAAGGCTGTCCAAATATTCTCTTAGAATGAGAGAATAGAAATTGTACAATGCCAAATAAGCTATTTAGGACAACTAGAACAAATAAAAGAAGAAACAGACAAATAAATAAGCATGATATATTTTCATCATTGATCCACGAAAAAAAATGCTTGCTTCATATAGAGATCAAATTTTATTTTTATAATTTTTATTTCATCTTTCATCTTTTATAATTCATACTTATTTTTACCTTTCTTTTTATCATTTTTATTTTGACTCTCTTGTGGAGTGTATCTTTTGAGCTTTAGTTCCTTTCCATTTCTTCAATGAAAAGTTTCATTTCTTGTCAAAAATAAATAAATAAATACAAGTTCAATCAATTCGAGACGGTTCGCTTAGTTCTGACAACTAACTCACTTCCACTCTAACGAATTTATTAAGTAACTACAAATATGCCAATAGGACTAATATTTCTAATTAATCCCTACTAGTATTCATAACATATTGATTGGTTCAGTGATTTTATACTTTCATTCTTCTCCTCTATACCTTTATTTTCTTGTTCTCTCTTTAGTTATAAGTTCATCATCAAAAGGACAAACACAAAGAGAAAGGAGAAATGAAGTTAATAGGATAAACCACAAATTCACATGATGAAGACAGCAGCTCGAAGAGAACAACTTTTCTATAACTTTTGATTGTCAGAAACCGGATTTCATGTAGATAAATAAAATATAGTTACTTCTAGTGTTCAGGCAGAGCAGAACATTTAAAATTGTTATAAAAGAACCTGATCTTCTAGTATGATCCCCGCAAAGCCTGCTCTAATATATCCTTTAACAGTCCTCTTCACATTCATTGCGTTTCCATATCCATTATCACCATCCCCAATGACAGGAATGGACACCGATTGAGTGATTAGTTGCCCTTGATCCAACATTTCACCATATGATATGAAACCTGTGTCTGGCAACGCCAATCTAGCAGCCGATATAGAAAAACCTGCACGAAAGGCCAATTCAAAATCACACTAGCTTGCATGACTATAGAAAATCTTTCAGTGACAATCCATACTAAAAATGCAGATAAAGGAATTTCTTCCAGCACGCTAGCGGCAACTAACATATTCAACTCAGAATTAACACTTATGGTCAGATTCTCATCAGTTCAATAATTTCTCACCTCTCCGAAAATTATTTCAATTGAATAAAATCAAAACGTTGAAGAGAGAAAGAGAGAGGCACAGACCACTGGTAAAGCAGTAAAGAAAACCAGCTCTCTCGACTAGCTTAGCACTGAGAGCATCGAAACAAGCGGGGCCTTGGTGAACGCCAGGCATCTCCAGAATCCTCCGGAGCGCCTTTGCTGGAGATTCAGCCATGAATTCGTCGTTGTTTCTAGCTGACATCGCCATGATTTGTGAGACCCGCTTCTGGTGCGGATTGCGGGAGAGAGAAATGGTCCGTTTGATCGAAGGCCGCCATGAGGGAGACAGATGAAGTGAATGCGGCGGTGGGGAAGGCAACTGGAAGCGGAGAGGCGATCTGTGAGAGAGTGGAAGTGAGAGACAAGCATCTTTACTCGCCACCCGGAGCTCCATCGCAAGTTTACGGTTGAAATTGGCTTAAAGCGATGGAAGAACACACAAGTATAAATGATCAATTCACTCACTAATAACCTTCTTATTATGTGCTAAGCCACTTTGGTTAAAAAAAAAAAAGCATTTTGGTCTTTATATTTGGGACTTAGTTTCTATGTTAGTCATTGTAATTTCAACACAATCCATCCTTTCCTTTTTCTCCCTCGTGAACGCTCGAATCATTGTCACCACATTGACGTTGCCGGTCGTTGTTCCTCACCTTCACTCACCATAGACGAGCCGCAATCAACTTTCATCATGTCTCGTTCGCTCCTTTTGTATGAATTGTCGTCGTCACAATGACATCATCAGTCGTCTACTCAAAGCATATTGAAGTCGTTCACTTTCACTCACCTCAAACGAGACAAGACTGGTGCTATCTCGCTTCAATAATCAACCGACAACCCTCCCTTTGACGTTTACCACGCCTCTCCACCAAATTCAGTGTGTAGAGAAGTACGTGTGCACCTCTAATAGACTCATGTCTTCCGTTTGGAGTCTCGGGCAAGAAGATGGTTTAGACTAGTTCAACACATTTTTTGATCTGTACAACACTTTTCGAATTGGTCCAAGTCTGATCCAGCGAGTTTCTATATCGTTTAGTGTAGCATAGTCCAATTCTAATGCGTTACAATCTAGTTTTAGCGCATTACACTCTGTTCCACTGTTCACCTCAATCAATATTGGTTCTTGTCTTGTTTCAGCCTAAGCTCTTTAAGTAACAGTATGAATTATAGGAAAGTTGTTTTCTTTGTCATGATTATGGGTCGGTGAATTTGGACTCTAATGGAATTGGACCTAAATGAATGATTATGATACTATTTTACATTCTAGTTACACGCGTCCATAGTCTCAGTCTATGGAGGATTAATACTCGTTTAGTGGATCCATGTGCATGTGTCACGAGTCATCTGTAGACACGCCAAGAGCGATGAGTCTCGGTCTCACATGTTATGATAGTGATAGATATGTTGCACATGTTTGCATTTTCCCGACTAAACAATGGGTTCACTTGTTGGGTATTTTTAAATATTCAACCGTTTCCAAACATTTTTTTCGTAAGAGTAAAGACATCTTAGACAATGATTGGAACGGAGGTATTTACATTCAGATTTCACATAAACCAGGCCTGACCTTGTGGACAACACCGAAATCCGAAATATGTGGTGTCTGTCTTATGTCCTTTTGAGTCCTGTGCTTCACAATCTCAATATCATTGTTTAAATTTTTTGCAGCCCATCAATTTTTTCTTTGTATATAAAAACGGAATTGATGAACCCATTTGTTATTTTCTACATTTATTAAACTGAGATTTCTGAACACGTTGGGACTTGGACATCTTCCCTTTTCGCTGACGCTTGAATCTTCATGACCAATTCTTATTGCGAAGTGTTCGTGGAGACGGCCCATCACAGTTCGGTTCGACTTTGATCTCTCATGGCGATCGCTGTAGCTTCTTCACTTACCTTTGGTAATCGTATAATTCGCTTCTTTTTATGTATCGAGTTCATTCTTCGCATTTGGGATCATCGATTGTGTTGAACTGATTTGTTTTCCTAGACGAATTGATTGTCTGGACATTTTTTTTAAATGGAGGGCCATCGATCATCGATTTCCAAGGTGTTTTTGAATACCCAGGTTATTTTGTTTGAATCGGGGTTTCGTCTGTTTGGATCGAGAAAGAAGAACAACTGATGAATTTATAGTATGTGTTCGTCCGGGGAGTCTGGTTTTTCCATATAATTGTTTAGGGTTTAGGTTTTGTGAGCTTTAGAAGCTCTGGGGATTTCCATTTTGTCCTCCGCCATGTGAACTTGTCGTTGGGGCATATATAATGCAATGGGAAGAAATTAATGTGAATTAGGATCTCTAGTTCATGACAATTTATTCATTTTGCCCTGATTTCAATTTCAAGGCATTTTGATAAAATCCTTCGTTTTGTAGCATTTGTTTTAGGTTTTGTTCTTAATCTCCACTTTTCCAATGTCATACAGAAGGGGCTTGTTGCTCGACATCTCATGCATTCACAAGCAGGTGGAGTAGATCTTCTTTTGATGTCCGGTGAGTTCATGATTTTGGTGGGTTATGATCCATTGTTGTAGCTCGTTCTTAATCTGTTTGTTTAAAATTTTCATTGAAAAACAGCTAAGGATTATAGAGAAGGATATAAATAAGAATCAAAATAATACTTAATCCTCTTCAACAAATAGCCTAAAACAATTATTCAATCAAATCTTTGAAATAAAGGTCAAGAACGTTAGGCCCCGAGCAAAAGAGACTAACGGAAGAAAAAAGAGATCCGATACTGCACATTAGATCGAAAGTCAGCTTTTGAAAAAGGTGAGAAGAGATATGACAACTGAGAACCAACTCAAATACTTCCCACCACTTAACTGAGAACCAACTTGAGAATGAATCTATAATCTTTACTCTCCTAGTTTGTTCCTGGTTGTAATGTTTCGAGTTTTATATGCTTTGAGGTTATGTTTTGTGCACCATAGGGAAGGTGCAGATGCATATGCTTTTAAAGTGTGATATGTCCAATAGTTTCTCAAGCCTACACATTGTAAGTCTAGTTGTTGTCTTGTGATATTAATCGAGATGCTTCTAACTTGGCTTTGACGGTTGAGATAACTACAATCAAGTCTCTGGAGGGCCTTTCTTAGAGGGTAGAGACCTCTTGGGAGGGCGTTTGGTCCCCAGTCAAGCTTAATCGCCTTGATCGTGGGCGTTTGTTGCCAAAAACTTCTGTAATTAGTCGTAAGGTCTTATTCGTTTTTTGGCCCCTTTTTATGTTAGGCTTCTCTTTTAGGCTTCTTTTTTGTTCTTTCATTTTTATCACAATGAAAGTTGGGTTTCTCAATGGAAAATGGTAAAAAGAAAGAAAAAAAAAAGAAAAGATAACAGAATGTATTTCCATTTTTACCTTTTGTTTTTTGGTTTCAGCCAAGAGGTCCTTTGACTTCATGAATTGAATATTTGTTTCTTGTTTCTGTGGTAAGTTTTAGTGGCAGAAATCCAATATTTGGATCCACAGAATTTCATTGGTTGTCCAAGGGACGTGATCTTTGCTTGTCAAAAGTTTCAGTTGCTGCTGATTACCCAGATTCTGTTCCAGATTCATCAAGTTATTTAACTAACAAAGGTTATCATCCTCTTGAAGATCTAAAAGTTCGCAAAAGAGCACGGAATACTGAACTCACTGCTGCAGAAGTAGCAAGGACAGCCGTGGAGGTTTGGATTGCACTGCGCGTGTTTTCTCTTGATCGTTTTTTATGTTTTTGGGTAAAATAGAAGTTAGCTGACATGTAGTTAATGAAAATTGTTGTATAATATGGTGATAACATTAAGGTAGAAGCAAGTATGGTTTCACCTCTTGACTCTGTCTTCGTATTAGGTGAATAGCAATGCTTTGCTGTTATTTCCTGGAACTGTGCACAGTGAACCACATGAACGGGTATCGTGGGATGAGTTTCAATATGTTATCGACGATTATGGAGGTTTTATTTTCTTTTCACTATATTTTTTATTTGCTCTTGTTAATGGTTTGTCACTTGTATGTATACGCTCGTATTGATCTTAGTGACTGAATCAAACTTGGTAATATTTTGTTCCGTTCAGATTTGTATTTTGAAATTTTTGACAGTGCGAACATGTTAGAAGATCGTGGAGCGCACAATCCAGTGGTAAGGATCTACGTATTATAGATTATAACTCTTTAAAATGTCCTAAAGTTTCTCTACTTTCTTTCTCGTACCCCAATATGGTAGAGAGTTTATGGTATTTATGAGACTTCTTCACCCACAGACTGCTTTGATTGGAATGGACATTCAAATGTATGAGAGTAGGACAGTTGGAGATTATATTGCGGCTGATAGTGTCTATGGTGATGTTCTTCCTTTTGGTTTTGATTATATTGAGGTAAGTACTTAGTTATCAGGTCTGATTTTCCTATATTCTTTATTCTAGAGTTAATGTAGCCACATTTCAATTGGTCTTATAGGCAGTGGAAACCGATTTAGCCGATAATCCGGTTGACTGGGGAGTTTCAGATGTTTCGAGCTTGGTTCATCCTATATACTTTGCCAAGTGTTTGAACAAGGTGATTGCCACCAGTACTTCGTTTTCGTTATTACCACATGCCTTACATTATATAACATATTGTTGCAAATAGCTTAGTTATTAGACTATTTTAACATCACATCCCGCTCCTAGGAACTAGGTTTGTAATACGTTCGTTAGAACGAGGAAAGTTCAATAAACTCGTTATTAAATGTTTGTTACCTAATAGGTTATCAATATGGAATATGACAGAAAGATGAAGCATCCTTCAAATGGAGTTTCCATTTTGGGATGTCTCAGACCTGCATATGCTGATGAAGAATCTTATATAAGAAGATTATTTTACTTTGAAGAAAGTGAAGGCTTCAACAATGAATGGAAAGGTAACTTCCTCATATGATGAATACTCGGTACTAGAGTAGCAAATCTGGTTCTGTTTCCGAACCATTCTGTTAAATGGTTCAATATTATACTTTCATGGATCGTTTAGAAAACACTTTAACGAGTGAGATATGAAGATGATAGGGGGAAATGGTGAGATATATTATGGGCTGGTCGATATTTCTTCGTAATTGGGTGATATATAAAGATACATAAAATGTATTGTGAGATAATTCCGAGATTACAAGTCCTTTGACTTTGAAAGATGTTCATTCGTTGACTCGGTCGAGCAACTTCCATCCTTAAGTAAAGGTTTTCAAGGTTTGTTGACATCAAAGTTGGTTGACTTTCTTTGTTCTTCCACATTATTCTACCATTTGAGGTATAATGATGAAGATCCACTTACAACTTTCAGGTTGTTTTCCGGGGAAAATCGTAGTTTCCCTGATGTTATTTTTATCTAAGGCTTAAGTATCATGAATGATAGCATCTCTCCATTCGGGGTCCTTAAACGCCTTGTGAATACTGTTAGGAATTCAATGTTAGTGATGGTAAAAGTAAAGATCCGTGTTCCTTAGGTCGGTTTGCTTGGGCTCGTTGCCTTTTTGAATGATACTCCAACAATTATTAGTTCTAGATGTAGGTTCCATTCATGAACCTCGTTTTATAATAACATACCTGGAATCTCTACTTGTGGTTTTGAATCAGGATTTGATTTATGAGAAGTACTAGAAGGTTCTACATTTGCACGGTTTTTATTTTCTCCTTTCGGTATAAACAAAAGAGTCACGGATTCATTACTTGTGGTTAAGTGTATATATTTCTACCTTCTTTTAAGCACTATAGGCTCATTGTTGATCGAGTTCTTCCTAGTCATTTCGTTCAGATTTAAATGGCGAAACCTTGAGATTCGAGTCCAAAAGTGATCGAAGCAGCCAACGATCCACTCTCTACAGGTTGGAGACAATGAGAATTGAGCTCTTCTCTGTGTATGGAGTTCAGGTGTGTACTTGATTACCCTTTTGCTCCTGCTTTCCTGGCTTATATCAGTACTTATCTGATCTGTAGTAGGGCCAGTAAGATTAGAATGACAAGAATAAATGTAAGAGCTATTTATCATATCAGTAAAGAGAAGAGTTACAAAATGAAAGATAGACATGAATTGATTTAGCATGAAGCAAAAGAAGAACAAAAATAATTCAGAAAGGTTTGGCATTTGGTAACTTAGGCATGCTAGTTTTGAATGGGGTTTTGCAGTCTGAAGTTAGTTTGCAAGATTTTGAAGATGCTGAACCTGATATTCTTCTGCACTCTACCGCGGAAATTGTAGAGCGTTTTCGTGAGAAGGGTATTAGGTGTAATATTGCCCTTAAAGCTCTTTGCAAAAAGAAGGGTCTTCATGTTCAGGTAATTCTTTTTCATTGTTTTTGTTATGATGTTTTTGCAACTCGGGAAAGCCTAAAGAGGACAATAGATGCTAGCGGTGGGCTTGAACTGTTACAAAAACCTTCCTATCTAAGTTGATGCGTTATTGTATTATCTTGGATATGATATACTTAATTAGTGTTTTTATTTTATTCATTTTGCTTTTCTAATACGAAACGACCAGCTTTACAAATTGAAGGGCAAAGGGACAAGGTGTCCTCTCCCCAACCCAAAAGGATTTACACGAAAACTGTGAGATCCCGCATTGGTTGGAGAGGAGAACAAACCTTATAAAAGCGTGAAAACCTCCCTAATAGACGCGTTTTAAAACCTTGAGGAGAAGTTCAGAAGGGAAAACCCAAAGATGACAATATTTGCTAGTGGTGGGTTTGGACGGTTACAAATGATATCAGAGCTAGACACCGGACAGTGTGCCAGTGAGGGGCTCCAAGGGGGGTGGATTGTGAGATCCCGCGTTGGTTGGAGAGGAGAACAAAACATTCCTTGTAAGGGTGTGAAAATCTCTCCCTAGTAGACATGTTTTAAAACCTTGAGGAAAAGTCTAAAAAAAACAATATTTACTGACGGTGGACTTAGGCTGTTACAAAAACCTTCCACAGTTAAATTTGTGTTCCTCAGCCAACTATGAGTAATCGGATTTTATTATTTACTGTCCTCTCACTCATTCATCAGTGATTTAGTTCAAGTGATTTAGTTCATGTTACCCGTAATAGATGCGTTTTAAAACCTTGATGCATCTGTTTGAATTTCTTTAGCTGAATCCAATAACTTCTGCAGATTGATAGTGTGCGATATATGTTTATCAGGATGCTACTTTGATCGGAGTCGATAGTCTCGGCATGGATGTGAGGGTATGTTTCGGGGTAGAAGTACGGACTTATCGATTTCCCTTCAAACTCCGGGTAAGCCACCTACACCTTCATGGTCTGGTTTATATAAAGTTTTACTAACGCCACCTTCCTTCAGGGATGAACATTTTACCTTTTAGCCATAGCTGCTGCCCTGTTAAAACTACATCATCCTTTTTCTATGTTGTTTGTAGGCAACATCAGAAGTTGCAGCAGAAAAACAGATTCAGCAACTCTTGTTCCCACGATCTCGTCGTAAACGATTACGAAGCCATGGGGATGGAATGGGAGATACTGCCAGTTTTTAGAACACCCAGAAATAAATTACAAAGCTAAGGGGACTTGTTTACTCATATCTGTCATAGAATTAGTCTTGGTTTCAGAATTGTACAGTTTGATAATTTATCCTATTTCTTATGGATTCCCTTTGCCTGCTCTTGTTCTTGTTCTTGACTGTCATATCTGAATTCCCTTGTTCAATGGTAGGCACGGCATTGATGAATGCCCAGATATTGAAAACTTTATAAGAAGAGATGGACAAACTCTTCTTCGTCCACTCTTTCTAACATGTCGATTCATTGGCTAAGCCGATTGAAAAGATCCTTAACTTCATTTTTAGGGATTTTCTTTGGGAGGGTCTGAAGGGAAAATGGTGGAATGCATAATGTGAGTTGGGAGATAACCCGAGTTCACGACGGCGGCGTTCCGGCAGTTCCAGGCGGCAGCGGACGGAGGACTCCATGCGAGGGAACGCGGGTCCATGGTTCCGGTATCGTCGAGCAATCTGAAACCGGCGAACGACTCACGACTATGCAGAAGCAACCGGCGAACCCCACTGCAACTCCTGCGAGCTCCTACACCTGCTGCAGCTTCTTCCTATTGACGATGACTCAAGACCGCAGCAGACTCCGGCGACGGCTGATTCTCAGGCATCCAGACAGTGGTGGAGGAAGAAAATAATAGAGTGATGGAGAAGAGGAAGAAGAAAGGTTAGGGAAAGGTGGGCCCCCCATGTTTTAAATTTTAAAATTTTAATTTTTAAAAAAACATATTATTTTATTTTTTTTGACGGATTTTTTAAAATAGATTTCTAAGTTCTCTTTTTTAGATATTCAAAATTTCAGAAATAAATAACGGATTAATTTTTGTAAATAAACATTTGTTTTACGGAATTTGTAAGTGAAGAATTTATTTTGAATTTCAAAATAAACTTTGGGAGATTAAAAAAGAAAACAATCTGACTCATGAACGATCGTTAGTGGCAACCCCGAAGGGACCGTTGGGGAAGGATGTTACCCGAGATAATTGGTGGCGACCCCAAACCTCTCATCTCGAAAGGGAGGGACTCTTAGGAGAAAAATGTTGATCGCTTCCGATCACAATGATGGTTGCAGCTACAAAATAATTACGAGTACATACATTTAAACTTTCGATCTCAAGAGAAGGTTATGTACGTTTTGTGAAAAAGAACTATAATATACATTTTCCAGCTATTCTTGCCCTGCTGCTGTTTCAATATCCCAACTTCTGTAGTCATTGGAACTCAGAACTATGTTCCTCTTGAACCCAATATTGATGGTTCTGGTTCTGGTTCTGGTTCTACCAAAGCATTCTCATCCTTTTTGTCAATGCGATCCCTCCCTTCATCGCCATCAACACGAACATCTGGTGTACTACCTGAACCCCTTTCCACATCGACAATTTCAATAGCTACATCGACACGGCTGTGATTTTCTTCTTTGTCGGCCCTGCATTTTCAAAATAGTATTCAGACACAAGACAACGTACAAAGCTTATAAGTTCGTTCTACGGGGTTTTAAAAAAGATACGGTTGTTGCTTCCCAAGATTTGGAAAATAGTTGGAGATGGTCCTTGAGCTCAACAAGTGGAAGTAACGTTTATAAGCTTATTTTTCAAGAACAAAAAACCAAATGGCTATCAAACCACACCTAAGCTTTTAAGTTTATCTTTAGCTGCAACCAGGGAAGTGGATACGTACACTGAATAAAGAACAAGCCCAACAACCACAGCAACAAACGCCACGAAGTATATCCAGTCAACCTGTAGCAAATAGTTCCATAAAACAGCAGCCATAGCAAATTTATCAACATGAGATACGGCATTGCAGGTTACCAGACCTTCTCATGATAAGCAAAAATGCGTATCACAACAGCCCACATGTCTGAGGTCATCAAAGACAGGTTCAACATTGCCGCTCCATTGATCTAGGATGGAAAAAACAGAAAGGCTTCATGCAATTATCTGGTATAGTTGCAGATTTGCATCACCCCAAAACAGGTTTTTCTATGACAGAATAAGAAAACAAAATCCCTAAAGATAACTTCTTAACCCATAATCTCAAAAGATGTATAGAATAGATTCAAAAGAGAGGCAAGTTCAATGGGACACTCCTACTTGTTTTGTTTATTATTAAAACGAATCCAATCCCGTCAAATCTTTAAACTATATCCTATGAATTTACTCGGGAGAAGTTCGAATCTATTTCGTTTGGATACTTATATCAGCCTTGTACAACATGCGATTTCATCACCATGGATCAGTTCATGGTGATTGAAAAGAGGTAAGCATTCCTAAATTCATATAAGAATGAGTCTATATATTAGATGGTCCAGGATTCTACCTTTATTCCAGGAAATATTCTTGCTTGATGGCACACATTGTTAAAACTTCAAAAGATCAAAAAAATTCATTGTCACATCTCTCATACCTGAAGCAATATAGGAACCAAGGAATAGAAGAGAAACATAGCCACTGAAAATCCAACAAATGGAAGAGTCTGGAACATCAAAAAGCATAAACTCGTGTGAGAAAGGGCGTTCATAATCAAGGTTTAAAACTTCAAACCTGCAACTCTTACTGCAAAGCTACTCAAGCATTTATGTATATATTCTCCAACAATAAATTTGCAGTATAATTTAAACACCTCTGAGAAGTATACATTTATTTGAGTTGATGATAAGAGAAAGAGAGAACGAGGGACTTACTGCCCCTGCAGTCCAATTAATTGATTTCAACTCATTGCGCTCTATAATGCTTCTATTAACATCGTCAAGGCTCAAAACTAGAGAATAACTTTAGTGACATAATAGTAATAGTTGTAGCACTTTTAAAGAAATGACTTATTAGACACAAAATCAAATCAGATATATTTGAAATTTCAGGACTAAATAGACAAATTACGAAAGTTCAAGTCCTAAAGCTGATGAGAGTAAATAGAACCAATTGAACATCAGGTAATGGATACATTTGGATTCCACTGATGATTGAGCCAAAGAGACCAAGCATTGCCATTAATTCAACTCTACCAGAATTCTTCACAAGGAATTCCTGAAAAGAAAAGAGAGCTGAAAACTGAAAGGGCGAAGGACCAAGGATTTATAAAATGAAAAACAAAAAGAACAATGATTTAAGAAAGAATTGAATTCCCCAGCAGAATATGATATGCTATCATGTAAAGAAAACGTCATAGCAAAAGATGAGCAAATATGGAATTTGAAAATATTCACTTCACTGCCTACTTAAAAGAAGTGGGAGCAAGAAGTGTGCCACCAAGACACACAAACATTACCTCACTGACATTACTGACAGCATAAAGTGTAGCACCAGCAATGACCAGTGCATCCCCTTTAATGGGGTTGCTTCCTCCTGGAAACAAATTTCTGTGTAAGGCTCCAGCAATATCAATTACATGAAACTTACTTTAAAAAATGATTCTAACAAAGAGTAGAGAGGAAAAGAGAGATGGGATAGAGATCACAGTGTTACCTGCCCGTTCACCGGCATGAACATCTGAAAAAACAACTGCGATGGCACCAGCCACACAGAGTACGACACCAACTATCTTCCTCGGTCTATATTTTGTTTTCAAAAATAGCCAAGTGAACAGCAACACACAAGGGATTGCCCAACAATCAAGCAGCATTACACTTGTTATGGATGTGTATTGATAGGCCTTTACCACTGCAATGAACTGAATCAGTTTTTGTTCTGAAGTCATTAGAATATGAGATCCATAATGGTATGATGTCAAGGGAAAGGAATTCAATGACAATGAAAATGGAATAAGATAATTGCAAATTGAATATGCTTAAGAAAAACTTTACTACCCTTATTGATTCAAGAAGACATAACTAAAGTGGTCAAAGTTCAACTCAAGTTTTCAAGTTCAATTTCAACACTGATATTGAACCCCTTATTCCAAAGAGATTGAATTCCCTTATTCCAATCTACAGTTGGCCACCAGTTCATCATCCATTCTTGGCCACATTATTTTCTTACATCAACTGAATTTATGTATCAACTGAATTTATGTATCAACTGAATTTATGTTATAGTTCTTCAATTCATTGCAGAGTCCTATTATTATCACCCTTAAAAGTAGCTTAACATCTTCAGTCTCGCTCAACTTGTCATATTCAATAAAGACGGTTGATTTCATTTTCTTAGGATTAAAGAAACTGAAAAATAGCAGCATCAACAGAGAGCTTATGTGCCCCAAGGGGCAGCCCCATTGGCAAGTGCTTGGAGTCTCTCGGTTATACCGCTTTAGAGGTCCAAATTCGAAACTTCGGGTGAGCTTATGTGAGATCCCACATCGGTTGGAGAGGGGAACAAAACATTCCTTATAAAGTTGTGAAAATCTCTTCTTAGTAGACACGTTTTAAAAACCTTGAGGGGAAGCCCGAAAGGGAAAGCCCAAAGAAGACAATATCTGTTATCAATGGGCTTGGGTTGTTACAAATGATATCAGAGCCAAACACCAGGCGATATGCCAGCAAGGAGGCTGAGCCTCGAAGGGGGTGGACACAAGGCGCTGTGCCAATAAGGACGCTGGGCCTCGAAGGGGGGTAGATTGGGGGGTCCCACATCGATTAGAGAAGGGAACGAGTGTCAATGAGGACGCTAGGACGTTGGGCTCCGAAGGCGGGTGGATTGTGAGACCCCACATCGATTGGGGAGGAGAACGGAACATTCTTTACTAGGGCGTGGAAACATCTCCTTAGCAGACGCGTTTTAAAAACCTTGAGGGGAAGCCCGAAAGGAAAAGCCCAAAGAGGACAATATCTGCTAGCGGTTATCCAAAAAAAAAAAAAAAACATAATAAAAGTAAAAACTCATGCTGCAACAGATTTCTTCAAGCGCACACAGACAACAGAACAAAATCCACAGCATAAACTAAAAATAACATAATAGTTTTACCAAGGAAATTGGCCTCTACATCTACTAATCCAAGCAGTATGTAGTAATACCATTTTGCCTGCATTGAAAGAAAGCATGTTATTTATTTAACCCCATAGACAATGACTTCGTTTTATTCTAGACCTTTCTTCAAAACACTTTCGGTTCAATTTGGTAAATCTTTACAGAAAGTATACAATAAAGTGAAGAAATTATGAATATCAACTTTTGGTTACCTAACAAGCATTTAAGTATTGGGACAAAAGAATCTACTTAAAAGTCGAAGCTCAAATAATTATTACTCACCTCTTTTCAACGTTGAACAATCACATAATAAATAAATAAGATCACTACAATTTCAATGAACTAAACAAAAAGTCAATGATAGAAATAGTAACCTTCAAGGCTTTCCTTCTGGAAAACATGATGATCCCATAGACAATCGCCAAGAGCACATAATTTACAAAAGACTGCGAGGTGGGTGCATTGATTCCTAAAACAAATCACAATTTAAAGCATCAAATCAAATTCAGAGTGCAATCAAAATAGCGTTATTCCGATCGAAAAAAGTTGTGAGACCCCACATTGGTTGGAGAAGGGAACAAAACATTTCTTATAAGGGCGTGGAAACCTCTCCCTAGTAGATACGTTTTAAAACTGTGAGGCTGACGGCTATATATAACGGGCCAAAACGGACAATATCTATTAGAGGTGGGTTTGGGCTATTACAAATGGTATTAGAGACAGACACCGGGCGTGTGGCAGCAAGGACGTTGGCCCTCAAAGGGGTGAATTGTGAGATCCCATATTGGTTGGAGAGGGGAACAAAACATTCCTTATAACGGTGTGGAAACCTCTTCATAGTAGACACGTTTTAAAATCGTGAGGTTGACGGCTGTAGGTAACGGGACAAAGCAGACAATATCTACTAGCGATGGGCTTGAGCTATTACAAAGGGTATCAGAGCCAAACACCGGGTCATGTGCCAGCGAGGATGCTGGCTCACAAGGGGTGGATTGTGAGATCCCACATTGGTTGGAGAGGAAAACGAAACATTCCTTATAAAGATGTGGAAACCTCTTCTTAGTAGACGTCTTTTAAAACCGTGAAGCTAAGGGTGATACGTAATAAGTTAAAGCAGACAATATCTACTAGAGGTGGACTTGGGCTATTACAAATGGTATCAGAGCTAGACACCAGGCGAGGTGCCAGCGACGACGCTTGCTCCCAAGGGGTGGATTGTGAGATCCCATATTATTGGAGAGGAAACAAAGCATTCCTTATAAGTGTGTGGAAACCTCTCCCTGGTAGACGCGTTTTAAAATCGTGAGACCGACGGCTATACGTAACGGACAAAAGCAGCCAATATCTACTAGCTAACATGCGATTGCTTAGAACAGTGGAAAAGTAGGAGTAAATGCAAGAGAAACGAACCCTGTTTGGCAAGCTCAGAGGAAGAAAACCCCGTGGAAGTGATGAGTAGAGACAGAATCTGTCCCAATCCAAGACCAATCCATGTCTTCTTCGTCCAAAGCGTCCTAAAACCTCTCATCTTCTATCTTCCCCAATCAGCCACACAACAAAATTGAAAAGAAAATCGCAGAAACTTCCAGAAGATCACTGAAATCAATTCCACAGAACCGGCTTTGAAATCGACAAGAAAACTTAGGGAATGGTGGAATTTATTGTCGAAATGGATCGCCAGCCGCATCGTTGTGAAGTTCCTTTCGCTTTCAGAAAATGATCTAAGCATACAGAACACTGAAAATTGAAAGTATCGTAAATTATACAAGTCAAACCTATCTGTAGCGGCCGGATCATACGGCATTGTCAACTGGCACCATGAAGCCATTGCAACCGGGGAAATTAACAAATAATTGGATTTCCATTTTTGAAAATTTCCTCTTTTATATTAAAAAAAGAAAAAAACAGTTCCCTGTACGGATTATTATTTTTATATTCTTAATTCATTCAATGCCAACAAAATTAATTATATAAACAAACCCTTAATTTATATATATTTTTCGATCCGATTCTCATCAAAATTCATATTTCGGCGTTGATTTGCATAATTCTCAATCATTTTCTCGATCGAAATGTATAGATTTCAGTTGGGTTGTAAAATTTTCGATCCACGTTGGGAGCGTTAGACGAACACGACTCTCCACACTGGTATGATATTGTCCACTTTGAGCATAAGCTCTCATGGCTTTGCTTTGGGCTTCCCCAAAAGGCCTCATACCAATGAAAGTAGTATTCCTCACTTATAAACCCATGATCACACCCTAAATTAGTCGATGTGGGACTTCCATCATTCAACAGGGAGAATCCACATTGTCCAACGAAGGCTTAATATGCATTTCTTGAATCTCGACATCCTCTACTCTACACTCAACAGATGTAGTCTCACCATCTCAAGCAGTAGTCTTTTTGTCTCCTATTATCTTTGGTCTCGCCGTCTCTTACTCTTATTAACGTATCTAAAAAGGGACCAATACAAGTTTACGTACACAATTTCAATTAGTACGATTCTACCTAGGTGAGAAGAACGTGTTCCTACACCACAAAAGTGGTCATCAAGAGCAATCAAGATATCGTCGTTTCAACCGCCACTAACATTCTAAATGCTCGAGAACACTATGAAAAGATAGGGTTAGAAAAATAAGCTCATTTCCCGATAGCACCAGGATGTATGCAAGAAGTTGGTGTTCTATTCCTGTTTTTGCAGTGCCGTTTGTCTAAAGATTTTCGATGAAAAAATAAATTTAAATATTAATTTAAAATTTTAAACAATTGATATTTTGGAGAGTGTGAGGCGTATAGCATTGTGCAAATGACATGTAAATATTATTAATAGTTTAGGGCTTATCACGATTAATTATATTTAATTAAATATTAAATGAAATTATAAGCTGACTTTTAATATCTTAATTTAAATATTGATTTAAGTCTTACAAGTACGGACATTCTTATCTTCTTTTATTTTATTTACTTCTCTTTAAAAAAAAAAAATCAAAATTTAGAGGTTAATTGAAAAAAAAAATTTAATAATAAAATTTAATAAACTTTTAATTTTAAAATTTAAATTACATAATTTTATTTTTTTCTAGGGAATTTCACATTTAAACCTACTAATTAATTGACATAGATGTTAATTGATCAAAATTACCCCCTTTATTTTTTTTTTCTTTTAATTTTGAATTTACATTAATTACGAAATAACTTTGTCAATGCTATCAATAAAAAATAAAATAAAATAAAATAAAAAAGTCAATGCTACCAAAAATTATAAAAAAAATATATCTATCCTTCCATTTTTTTTTTTAATTTTTTAAAAAATTCACATTAATTACAAAAAAAAAAAACTTAATAAACACGTGGAAATTTAAGCTAATCTCACAATTCGGTCCAACGTCTACCCACTGTCTAACCGTTCAAGTCCACCGCTAACAGATATTATCTGCTTTAGCCTATTATGTATCGTCGTCAGTCTCATAATTTTAAAACGCATCGGTTAGAGAGAAACTTCTACACCTTCCTCTCCAACTGATACGAGATCTCACAAAAGTCAACGTTAAACATAATACATTTACTCAATAAGTTAGAGTAAATAGGAAAACGTAGTATTTATAAATTTAAATATTAAAACTAAAAATTAAAATTAAAAATTTTAACTATTATTTTAAAGCCTAGTCTACAAATTTTAAAATAATAATAATAATAATTAATATTATTATTATTATGGGGCCTCTCTTTTTGCCACGTTTTTAAGGATTATGTCCACAAGAATTGTCGGGCCAAAATTTCATATCCTAACCCTACTAACCACCCCACACTTGCAAGTTGGATTGAACATAGAGCCATAAACGTAAAAGTATGCCAATTTTTTGTGTTGGTATCCACTCAATTCGTACCCGAGCTGCACGTTTTTCCAAATTAAGCTGATTACTCTTGGATGATGAAAGTCACACTTCAACTAATTTAGGGAATGATCATGAATTTATAATCAAACTCTTCGTTGGTTTAAGATCTTTTGAGAAACTCAAAGTAAAAATACCTTTTTATCTGTTCACGTGGTTCTCAATGTAAAGGAGAAAAGATAGCTTGTATCACGAGCCCTTTGTCCCACATATCCATCTAAAAGTAAGTGTAGTTCACCGACCAATTCGACCGAATGCTCCTATTTCTTGTCAAAGATCGTGCAAATATACAGTTATGGGTAAGAGCCATTATCAATCCAATTTTGGTTCTTTTCTAGTGCACTAACTTTATAATATATAAGAGCCATTATCTAGTGATTGAAATTTCATCGAGCGAATCTTACTTGAAAGCTTCGAGGGAAACAAAAATGGAGGTTAAAGTTTTGTCGAGAGAAACAATCATCCCTTCATCCCCAACACCTCCACACCTTAAAAGCTTCAAACTTTCACTTCTAGATCAGCTATCTCCCATGCTTTATACACCACTTTTGTTCTTCTACCCCATCACTAAAACCTACGATCCAAACCCCACCATGGCTACACTAAAGGATTCATTATCACAAACACTTGCTCGTTTCTACTTATTGGCTGGAAGAATCGTGGGCAAATCCATCCATTGTAGCGACCAAGGAGCTGTCTTTATTGAAGCCAGTGTCAGCTGCAACATGTCCCACATCCTCAAACAACCAAACAACGAGGTCTTAAGGAAGCTCCTCCCATGTTCTTTGTTGTGTTCCAACCCAGCTGAAGAGTCACCTCAAGTTGTGGTTCAAGCCAACATCTTCAGCTGCGGTGGCATTGCCATCTCCCTTTGTCTCTTGCACAAGCTCATGGATGGAGCCACTTTCACCTCTTTCCTAACATCTTGGGCTTCCACCAATAAAGGGTCTTTGGATTCATCTTCAAACATGATATGTTATGATTACAAAGCATTCTCTTCTCTATTTCCACAAACAAATTTATTGCCTTTTCATCAAAAACTCGCTAAACCCGCCAATCGAAAGCGTTGTTTACGAAGATTTGTGTTCGGATCGAAATCATTACTAAACCTAAAAGCTAAAGCCGAATCGAGGGCTGTCCCGAATCCGAGCTGTGTCGAAGCGTTGACCGGGTTTATTTGGAAACATGCCATGATGGCTGCTGATTGTCAAGGCTCATCGACTTTGTCTCATGTTGTGAACTTGAGAGGGAGAATGAAGCCGGCGTTGCCTGAAGTGTCTGTGGGGAACATTATGTGGGGCGCTGTGGCTCATTCTTCAGCGATGGAGCGCTTGGAGCTGAGGGCGTTGGTGGGTTTGCTGAGACAATCATTTGAAGAAATCAATAAGGATTATATTGAACGGATGTTGATTGGATCAGATAAAGGATTTGAAGCTGTTTTGAAGTTTGTTGGTGAGATGAACAAGTGGGGGATGTCGAATTATTACTTTTGCACGAGCTGGCGGAACATGAAGTTGAATGAGGTTGATTTTGGGTGGGGGCGACCGGCGTGGATAGCCATTGCTTGGGACACTAATGAGCTGATGGCTAATGTTATTGTCTTGGTGGATGGTGTCATGGGGGATGGAATTGAGGCTTGGATTCTTTTGGATGAAAAAGAAATGGAAATCTTAGAACAAAATCCTCAATTTCTCGAGTTTGCGTTGTTGAATCCGAGTATATATTTGGCGGATGAAAATTGATGAGATTTGAGAGAAGAACATAACATTTGTTAAAGGGCGTGGAAACCTTCTAAAACTCTAAGCTAGAAATTGTATGTGTTACAAGTTATAATGTATGAGTCATGATGATGTATGAGCTGTATCGTAGGATGTCGTATACTAGTATATGATGATGTATGAGTATATGGTGATGTATGAGTTATGATACTTGATGATGGATTAAGTTGGGTTGATCGAGTTTTTTTTTTTTTCGAGTTATCACGAATTTTTTAACACTCCTACTTCGATTACCTGTTTAATGCTTGCAATTGTGGGGAAATACTCGTATGAGATGACTTCTAGCTTTGTGGTGGGAGCGTAAACTTCGTAAATATGGTGTTACTTTTACGAGCCCCCAAGTGTGCTTTTGAGGACGTAAAGTCTTATGTGTTCCTCTATTGTTCAACTTAGCTCGAGGCACCTAACGAGAGTAGTGACTTTGAATTCTTTCTCTTAGATTGTTTTCATGTTAGTTTGGTTATCTTTAGTCTTGCTTGGTGAGTCTCTTTCGTTTGCTTGTATATAAATTTTGTGGTTGTCGTCTATTTGTGTCATGATCTCAAAATGTGAGGTCTTTCTTTCGTTCTAAGAATGACATCTTTTCAAAAGAAAAGAAAAAAAAATGAAAAGTTGTCAAGGAAGCTGCTAGATTGTCACTTTCAAATAACAGTGAAGTGAAGCTTTACAGCGAGACTAAAACAATGAGATCATGACACAAACTTATTAATTTAAATAACCAAAGAAGAAACTATAACAGCACAAGCCCACTGCTAATAGATATTATCCATTTCGGTCCGTTACGCATCGCTATCAGCCTCACGATTTTAAAACACGTCTACTAGAGACGTTTCCACACAAATGGTTCGTTTCCCTCTCCAACTAATGTGGGATCTCCTAATACACCCTCCTTGTGGGCTAGCGTTCTTGCTAGCACATTACTCAGTGTCTAGCTCTGATACTATTTGTAACGGCCCAAGTCCACCACTAATAGATATTGTCCGCCAAATATATACTCGGATTCAACAACGCAAACTCGAGAAATTGAGGATTTTGTTCTAAGATTTCCATTTCTTTTTCATCCAAAAGAATCCAAGCCTCAATTCCATCCCCCATGACACCATCCACCAAGACAATAACATTAGCCATCAGCTCATTAGTGTCCCAAG